GAAGAAGAAGATATCATTTAATTTTAGCTTGTAAGTTAAATTCTGAAAAATATCATGAATCATCTTTTAAGAGAGAGTTATAAATAAATAACACAGAAAATGGTAAAAAAAAAACTTTGACCTCATTCCATGACAGATATTGCTAAAAAAAAAAAGAATGAAAAGTATTGTTTACTTTTGGCAGCTTTTTTTAGTTGCAGATTTTTCGCTTGAGGGTCAGCTAACGAAAGTGCAGATGATTTGAGACTAATTCTAATGACAATAGAGAAATATCTAAAGAAAGGCACCAGGTTTGAAATGTCTTAGAATAAAGATGATAATGCTTCATTGGCCATTTTTTTGGCATTCCTAACAATTCGAGATAGAAATGAGCTTCCTTATTTCATTGTCATATATTCCATTTTTTTTATCTTCCTGCAATCTTTTTGCCATTTATTCTTATTTCTTTACTGTTTTCTTTTTTTTTCTTTTTTTTTATTGTTTTCTTTTTTGAACTCTTTTCTTATTCGTATTATTTCAAGCATTTGTTGTTATTTACTAAGTTTAGCTTAGTCTAGGCACAAGCATGGGGCCCTCAGTGATGACCTAACTAACAACTCCATAGTAATAGTCAATTAAATGCTTGTTAACCATTACTATATGCTGAAATACCTGTTTCACACATTTGATATAAAGTCAACATATACTGACTGGAATTGTTTGTCGATCACCAACGTGAACAATATTTCATTTTGGGAAATCTACAATTATTAAAAGTGTGTAAAAATTCCCAGTACCTTCTTTTTTTTTTGGAAAACTAGAAAATAAATACTTAGTAGAAATCCTTATTTTTCTTCCTAAAAACACTGAGAAATTTTTATATCTGTTTCTTTTATGTGCTGTGGCCCTTCAGAACTTAGGCAATCATGAATCTCCACAACTTTCTTTACTTTTTAACTCAAAGCAAAATTTAACTTTTTACCATCTCTCTTTGTCCTTCAACTGCCATCGGAATATGCTATTCAAGATAGAAACAAGCGTCCTTATTTCATTATTAATCTTATTATAACCGATTCCATAAAAACGTTACGGAAATTAGTTCTATACTAATAGTTTCTTCTCTTCGATTTATCACTCATGGAGCTATTTTCCAAATTCTTGCTTTCTAGTGAACTTTGATCTTCAAAATTTAAATGCAATGTCAATTGCTATTTTCTGTCTTCTTAATTCAAGTTCTTTTAAACCTTTGAGCCCTGCTTTACCATTTGTAGGGAAAAATGACGTAATGCCCAGCCACGGGTTGAACAGTGGTAGGGAAAAATAACTTAATCCCCAGCTAATGGTTGAGTGGTGAGTAAACACTTGTAACTATTTTTATATCTACTGTGAAACATTACATATCAATTATTTGCAAATTTTGACTCAGGAGATCAGGCAGAAAAGTTAAAATTGTTCAAGAACACAGGGCTGAAAGAGTTAATGTTCCTCCTGCTTATTAATGTTTTCATTTTTCATGTATTTTTTCGCATGCAATCACCCCTTGCATCTTAGTGGCTTTATTGCCTTGCTTGGGGTGAAATGATTAAAAATTCATAGAGAAAATGGAACCAAGAAGATGAATTCAAATTCTGGTCTATGTCATTGTATTCATTTTCATACTAATGTACATGTTTCGGTGTATTCACTCCCCCAACTATGTGTTAAAAAGCAGGACTAACTTAGCTCTCTGACTTTGGATGGCAACCAGACTAAGAGAAGGTAATTTTTTTCTGATGAACTTTGCTCTGTGGTAGCATGACTTTATGAATTTAAGTGCAGTATTAGGCTGGTGATGTGATCTTAAACTTTTACAGTTGAATTGGCGAGTTGTAACTGTAAGTTATTTCCTTGCTAACAGTCCCTTTTCTTGCACTTCTCACTTGTGGAACTCTCTTCAGGCTTTCCAGACAAGTTTGATCTTCAAACATTTAAATGCAATAACAATCATTATGTACACCCTTGTGCAAATCAATTGAAACACCCACTTTAGTTTCCTTTCTTTCACAATGCAGTCAGTTTTAGGACCAGTGGAGTGGCAGGGTGTAATCAATTTCTATTTTTTCCTCAAATTAGGTCATTTGCAGTGGTGTGCAGTAATATGAATCTATTTTCAGGGTGTATGATGAAATTTGTTTGGCCTTGAAATGATTACATCAGATTTTTAACACACCCAGACACTGTTGTCTCAACTGTCAATTAGTTGTCCTACAGCCATTATCTGCAATGGACGTTACTCCAAGGAAGTGTACAAAAATTGTAATGTTGCACAAACATACTGGCAAGCCTTACCAGTGAGCAGATCAAAGTACTATAGACTGACCCGGAAACTCTCCTGATTTAAATCCAGTTGAGAATCTGTGGTCACTCTGCAAGGAACCACTTCATGGAATGGGCATACAAAGTATTAACATGTGAACTGGGTCATGTTTCACTGGAAAAATACAAAAAAAAGTAAATAATAACAATTAATTCGCACAAGGGTTTACTGTCTTCCTGGTAGCTCTTTTATTGTTCTCACTCTCCTCAATAATGTTTTTGTTTTCTGATTCTTTCACTCCCAGTAAACCCTTGTGTTTTAGTAGCTTTACTGATTTCACTTGGGATTAATTCCATTAAAAACTAAAACCAAAAATATTTGACTATTTACCATCACTTTCTATCTTATTACACTACCATCCTAATACTAAAAATATTATAACCTTTACCATAAAAGCATTACTGAAATTAGTTTTATACTAACAGTTTCTATTCTTGCACTTCTCACATCTCTACCAATTTCTTGCTTTCCAGTCAACTTTGAACTTCAAAGATTTAAATGCAATGTCAATCGTTATCTTCCATCTTCTTAATTCTTCTTTTATTGTTCTCTCTCCTTAATAATGTTTTATTTTTCTTATATATTCACATTCACATTAATGTCTTGTGTCTTAGTGGCTTTATTGCCTTACTTGTGATGAAATAATTAAAAAAAGAATATATTGCAGTTCACAGATAATAAAAAAAGGAATATATGGTGAGATTACATCCTGAAGAAACATGACATTAAAAAAATGAATATAGACACAAAATATGGCAAAGAATGGTGGATACAGAGCAATTCTACTGACTTCTTGCTTTCCAGTCAACTTTGATCTTCAAAGATTTAAATGCAATGTCAACTATGTGTTAAAAAGCAGGACTAACTTAGCTCTCTGACTTTGGATGGCAACCAGACTAAGAGAAGGTAATTTTTTTCTGATGAAATTTGTTCTGTAATAGCATGACTTTATGAATTTAAGTGCAGTATTAGGCTGGTGATGTGATCTTAAACTTTTACAGTTGAATTGGCGAGTTGTAACTGTAAGTTATTTCCTTGCTAACAGTCCCTTTTCTTGCACTTCTCACTTGTGGAACTCTCTTCAGGCTTTCCAGACAAGTTTGATCTTCAAACATTTAAATGCAATAACAATCGTTATATACACCGTTTCTACACCCTTATCTTCCATCTTCTTAATTCTTCTTTTATTGTTCTCTCTCCTTAATAATGTTTCATTTTTCTTGTATATTCACATTCACATTAACTTCTTGTGTCTTAATGGCTTTATTGCCTTGCTTGTGGTGAAATGATTAAAAAAAAGAATATATTGCAGTTCATAGATAATAAAAGAAAGAAATCTGTGGTGAGCCTACATCCTGAAGGAACATGACATTAAATAAGTCAATATAAAAACAGAACATGGCAAAGAATGGTGGATAGAGAGCAGACATATTGTCACTTAATCTCCAGCTAGAGACACTAAATATGACTGCCATGAAACTCAATAAGTATAATGATATTAATTAGGAAATGAAGTTGGGGACAAAGTAGAAAAATGTAAAAATTAAATGAAAAGGGAAAACAAAACAACTGATAAAAAATAACTCAGAGACTAATCGTATTTTTAGATGAACTGATAAAATTGAGATGAGTTTCTGGAATGAAGACATTGGGACAATCATTTGGAAGAATTTTTAGCTTGAAAGGCAAGCATGGAGAGATGCGGAACAGATAATATTTTCCAGTTAATCATGATTATTACATTTTTCTGCACGACTTGGCTGATCCGTAAAAGACTAAAAAACAAAAATAAAATAATGTGCTCTATAAAGAAAAGGAGTTCTATTTTTTCTTGTTTTTTCTTTCCTTTTTTTTATGGTGGTGGTGGGGGGGCAGTGATAAAGTTTCCACTGGCATTTCAAATAAAGGTCTCAGCATCTAATATGGAAAAAAAAATATGTATGATTTGCTTATCTTTTCTCTCAACTTGATAATTATTATGGTTTCTGCACATGGCCGCAGTAACAGAGCACTTCATGCATCAGATTAAAAAATAATTCATTTTTATTTACATTACTAGAATTTAGACTAATATCTTCATGTTTGTTGTTGTTATCATAACATTTCAGCTGTGGTGACCTCTGGCCTTGTTCTTATTTGGTTATAGCTCAGCCTGTTTCCTCTAAGATACAGTCTGTACTACCCAGCCCAGGGATTGAACTCACATACACTATACTAACAAATTTTCAACCACTAGAGTTTTTTTTTAATCATTTCATACCAAGAAAGGTAATAAAACCACTAAGATGCAAGGGGTTACCAAGAATGAGGGGAACTGGAAAAATGTTATTTAAGAATAAGGGCAATAAAAATGAAGTGTTGTAAGAAATAAATATAGTTTCTTCAACAGAAAATAGCAAGACTTCATTTCTCATAAGTTAAGGGACAATTTCTTTCTTTCTTTCTTCCTACCTGAGTTATTTCATATATATATATATATATATATATATATATATATATATATATATATATATATATATATATATATATATATATATATATATATATCTCATTCTGTCCATATCTATTTTTTCTCAGCGAGTTCAAATTTATCAATCTGTCTGTTCATATCTATCTTTCCATCTCAGTCTGTTCATTATGTATGTATGTATGTAAGTAAGTATGTATGTATGTATGTATCTATCTATCTATCTATATATATATATATATATGTCTGTTCATATCTATCTTTCTATCGCATACTGTTCATATCTATCTATTTATCTATCTATCTCATTCTGTTCATATCTATCTATCTCAGCTAGGTAAATATCTATCTATCTATCTCATCCTGTTCATATCTATCTATCTCAGCTATCTATCTATCAATCTCATTCTGTTCATATCTATCTCAGCTAGGTAAATATCTATCTATCTATCTATCTATCTATCTATCTATCTATCTAAGTCTGTTCATGTCTCTCTTTTTGTTACATACTGTTCATGTCTATCTATCTATCTATCTTTCTCAGTCTATATCCATCTATTTATGTTATATGTTATTTCTCACTTTTTTACAAATGATTTTGAGTTTTGAACAACTGTAATCATTATTTAAATTATTTATCTTTATTTACATTCAGACAAACATCCTCATCTTTGTTATTGTTATCACAAGTTTTCAGCAGTTGTGCTCTCCAGACTTCTTTGGGGAATCTCAGATTGAACCCTTTATTTATTCTACAAAGTTACATTATTTCATATATGAGTGGAGATTGTTCTTTTTGAGTAGCAGATAACTATTGCTTGCCTTGTTTCCACAAAGTTCTGGTTCACGTTGTCTCATTTGTCTAAATATCAGTCTGATTTAATAATTTTTCTGTAAGGTTAAGGTCAGTTCATATCTATCTATCTATCTATCTATCTATCTGTTTTTATTCTATTCATATCTATCTATCTATCTATCTATCTATTTTTATTCTATTCATATCTATCTATCTATCTATCTATCTGTTTTTATTCTTTTTATATCTATCTATCTTTTTTACTCTGTTCATATCTATCTATTGCTTTTTTAATTCTATACATATCTATCTATCTATCTATCTATCTATCTTTTTCTCTCTGAATTTCTGGGATGAGAGGTTTATTATTTACAGTTAGACTAATGTTCTCATCATTGCTACTTTTGCTCTTGGCCTTCTTTATCTGTATTTTGCTTATGTTCCTTTCAGAATATCATGAACTGAGCTTTTTATTTAATCTGTGAGGCTAGATTGTTCTTGCTTTTCTGACCATATCTAGGGATGACTCATCTTGTTTTTATTTAATACTGCACAATTAGTGCTCCCTCTTTTTATACTACCGAACACAGGGATTGAACTCACAGTTATGTTTGATTTAATACTTGGAAGACTATTGTCCTTCTTGTTCCCTAGAAATTATGCACCCAAAGGAAAGAGCAAATTAGAACAAATGTTATTATTTACATTGTTTGTATGCAGACAAGTGTCCTTTTCTATACAATGTTTCAGCCATGCTCTTTTATGGACTTCTTCAGGTATCTGTCAATCTAAATAACCTTCAGCGAATTTAGAATTGAACCTTATCTAATCATACATATTTATTTACATATAATGAACAAACCTTAAGATACAGAATAAAATCTCATAAAACTAAATATGTTATGGTAAATATTTCTAATAAAAACAAATGCTATATGTTGATATTCAACTGACATACTACTTACTTCCTTCTATATGTTACTTATTTCCATTTTACTCCAACCTGTGATCTAAATGCTAAGGTCATTACCACTTTCAGTGACTTTATTTTGATGACAATATAATCTAATTATAAAAGCAATCAACATAGTAATCACTTATTTTCAAGATCCAAAAAGACCAGTTTGGACTTGAATAAAAAAAAAATTATTTTTAAAGTTGCTGAGAAGTAATTTATATCAAACTAGAATTGTTAAGTTGAGCAAGATATATAACCCATACTGGTAGTTATAAATGATAAAACCACATTTATTTTGATGTCTCAGTTTTAATTGATGTACACACAAACTGAGTTTTTTATTTCGTGTATAATTAAGTTATTAGTTTTTATTTAATTTGTATAAGTTTATATTTAATTTGCATACCTTTTTAAAAATTCACATGCATTTATATTTCTTTATTATTTACTTAATATTTAATTTACACAAAATTGTATTTAAATTGGATTTTAAGTTTTAAAATTTATGTTCTGTTTTTATAAAATTATAATTCTCATATCATTTTGTATTATATTTATAGTTTATATAAATTCATATTTAAACATTAATATTTAATTTATATTTTATTATTTATTTAATTGTGTAAATTTGTATATTTTATTGAATTTATTCAATTCATTAAATGATTTATATAATTTACATAGCTCATAAATTTAACCTTATATTTAAATTTTTATGCTTTCTTTGTATTATTTTATTTGATTTATTAATTGCTATATTTTAACCTTATATTTGAATTTGTATCCTTTCTTTGTATCAATTTCTATATCTGTCGATAAATCTTTAATTGCATAAAAGAAAATAAATATGAACTGCTTAAAGTTTTAGAAAAGTGGAGAAATATATTTTTGAATAAATATCCATTTTTTTAAAGTTTAGATTAAGTTCAAATGATCAGAATTTAAATAACTTTAAATGAATTTCAATTTTAAGAAACGATTTCTTGAAGCCATTTACCAGCAAATGTTAACAGACAAATTGGGTCCTTCATTTTTCTATGTGGTGTACATAGGAGTTCAAATTTTTCAATTAATCTGCAAATAACATTTGCATCTAAATAGCAATTGTAGATAATGTCTTGTGATCCTTTTGTGCTTCACAAAAACTCAACGGGGGAACCATTTTTTTGTTTTACCATTCCTTTTTTTATTATTATTATTATTATTATTATTATTATTATTATCATCATCATCATCATCATTATTATTATTATTATTATCATCATCATCATCATCATCATCATCATCATCATTATTATTATTATTATTATCATCATCATTATTATTATTATTATTACTACTACTACTACTACTACTACTACAACATTATCATAATATTTAGTTGTTTCTTTCAAATATTTTACTTTTACCCCTTTATTCTTTTTTTTCAAACTTTTTCCTTTCTTTTCAAATTCATTTATTTCTTTCTTTTCCTTCTTTTATCTCAATTTTCTTTTTTTTCCTGTTGGCCATCTTTATTTTCTTCTTGTTTTTATTCATATATTCTTTTGTACTCTAAATATATTTTTCTTCATTTTTCTTCACACTGCAATTTTTACTCTTTCTTTTATCTCAGTTTTATGAAGCTTTTCTCTTTCTCAAGCATTTATTCCTACTTTTTCTTTCTTTTATTTATTCATTCTTTCTTTCTATTCAGTCTTTTTTTCAATGACATTGTCCCCTGCTTTATTTTTTATTTCATACATTCTTTTTTCTTTTCTGACTTATTTTTTCTTCTTGTAACTCTTTCGTTTTTATTTCTTATTTACTCTTTCTTTTTCTCTTTCTATTCCTTTCTTTTTCCAAGTTTTCTTTCATTCTTTTTCTTTCTTTTTTATTGTCTTCTTCCTTTCCTTTCTTTCTTTTTTCATTTCTTTTTCTACCCTTAATTTCTTTTTTCTCACCCTTCTTTTTTACTACTTTCTTCTTTCTTTCCTTCTTTGTCCTCTTCCCTTCATCTCTCTTCCTTCCTTCCTCCCTTCCTTCCTTCCTTCCTTCCTTCCTTCCTTCCTTCCTTCCTTCATTCATCCATTGTTTCTTTTCTCTTCACTTTTTCAATCTATTTTCAGTAATCCTTCAGTAATTTTTACTTTAGTACCTATTGATCTCTATTTTGGATATCTTCCTTCCTTCCTTCCCTCCTTCCTTCCTTCCTTCCTGCCTGCCTGTCTACCTTCCTTCCTTCCTGCCTGCCTTCCTTCCTGCCTGCCTTCCTTCCTTCCTTCCTTCCTGCCTGCCTTCCTTCCTTCCTTCCTTCCTGCCTTCCTGCCTTCCTTCCTTCCTTCCTTCCTTCCTTCCTATTTATTTTTATTGTTTGTTTCCTCTCTGTTTTATTCATTTTTTTTTGTTTTAGAAAAAGAATTTTTGCAAAAAAATCCATTTTTAGCAGCTGCCAACCGGTTCAATCACTTGATTTTAAAAAATTGATTTATTGGATTGATTGATTTCTTTTCCAGCCTAGTTTTTCCACGAATATTCAAGACAATTCATGAAAAGCAAGTAAACATTTTGCAAGAAACAATATTGGGGAAAAATGTTCAATCAAATTTTCTCAATAAAAGAAATCACTCAAATTTTAATGAGACATTATGTGCTTAGTTGGATAGGTGAGGATTTTTTTAATTTCATTCTTTTTTATAATTTCATTCTTTTTTCATCTTTTTTCCAAGTCTCTTTCTATGTTACTTCTTTCTTTCATTTTTAATTATATTCTTTTTTTCCTTCATTCTTTCTTCTTTCAAATCAAACATTCTCGCTATCATATTTTTTCATTCATATTCTTTTTTCCTTCATTCTTTCTTTCTTTCTGACATATTATTCCTTTTTACTCCCTCTGCTTATCATTTATTTTTATCTTTTTTGTTCTCACTTTCTTTCCCCTCATTCTTCTGATTTATTCTCTCCATTTAATCTATTTTTTCTTTTTCATTCATTTATTTTTCTTCTGCTTTATTCTTGCTTTTTATTCACTTTTTAATTAATTCTTTTTATTTTATTTTTATTAATCTTTTCTTTACTTCCTATTTTTTCTTTTGTTTTATTCCGTTATTCACTTTTTCTTTTTCATTTCGTTTGTCTTTCTTCAGTTTTATTCTTACGTTTTATTCAGTTTTCCTTTCATTATATTATATTTGTATCATATTTTCTTTTTTCATTTTTCTTCTTCACATTTCTTCTTCATTTTTCTTATTTGTCTTAGTTTCTTTTCTGAAATGATTCTTTTTCCTTTTTTGTCTCTATATTAAAGTAAAGTTTTATTTCATTCTTTCATTACTCATTCTTTTTATTTGGTTTCTTTTTATTTCTCCATTTCATTTTAATTTTATGCTTTTTTTTCATTTCAGCCATTTCTATTTAATTAACCTTATCTTTTTCATTTTACATATTTCTTCATTTTACACTCACTTTTTATTTTTATATGTTCTTTTTTATTTCACTCTTTTTCATATCCCTCTTTCTTTTTTTTATATTTTCTTTTTTACTTTTCTTCTTTTCTCCCTCTTCTTTTTTTATCATATACAGTGTAACCCGGATATAAGAGAGTTGTCAGGACCAGAGAAGAAGTCTCTTATATCCGGGTTTTGGTCTATTTTATATACATTAACACAGGCTCTAATTTGGGACCAGAAAATCTCTCTTATATCCTGGTTTCTCTTATATCCGGTTTGGTCTATTTATATACATTAACACAGGCTTTAATTTGGGACCTTTTCTCTTTTATATCCGGGTTTCTCTTATATCCGGGTTTGGTCTATTTATTTATACATTAACACAGGCTCTAATTTGGGACCAGAGAAAATCTCTCTTATATCTTTTTTCTTTTATCCGGTTTGGTCTATTTTTTATACATTAACACAGGCTTTAATTTGGGACCAGAAAATCTCTCTTTATCCGGGTTTCTTTTATATCCGGGTTTTTCTATTTTTTTTTAACACAGGCTCTAATTTGGGACCCAGAAAATCTCTCTTTTTCCTGGTTTCTCTTATATCCGGGTTTGGTCTATTTTATATACATTAATTTTTAATTTGGGACCAGAAAATCTCTCTTATATCCGGGTTTTCTCTTATATCCGGGTTTGGTCTATTTATTACATTAACTTTCTAATTTCTTTTTAAAATCTCTTATTTTTTCTCTTATATCCGGGTTTGGTCTATTTTTATATTCACAAGCTTTAATTTGGGATTAAAAAATCTTTCTTTTCGGGTTTTTTATATCGGGTTTTGGTCTATTTATATACATTTCTTTCTAATTTGGGACCAGAAAATCTCTTTATATCTTGGTTTTCTTCATATCCGGGTTTGGTCTATTTTATATACATTAACACAGGCTTTAATTTGGGACCAGATTTCTCTCTTATATCCGGGTTTCTCTTTCTTCCGGGTTTGGTCTCTTTTATTTACATTATTTCTCTAATTTGGGACCAGAAAATCTCTCTTATATCCTGGTTTCTCATATCCGGGTTTTTCTATTTCAAACAAACACAGGCTTTAATTTGGGACCAGAGAAGTTCTCTCTTATATCCGGGTTTCTCTTATATCGGGTTTGGTCTATTTTATATACTCTTTCTTTCTAATTTGGGACCAAAGAAAATCTCTTATTTCCTGGTTTCTCTTATTTCGGGTTTTTTCTTTTTATATACATTAACAAAAATTTAATTTGGGACCAGAAAATCTCTCTTATATCCGGGTTTCTCTTATATCCGGGTTTTCTATTTATATATGAAAATTCACAGGCTCTAATTTGGGACCAGAAAATCTCTCTTATATCCTGGTTTCTCTTATTTCTATTTGGTCTATTTTATATACATTAACACAGGCTTTAATTTGGGACCAGAAAATCTCTTTATCGGGTTTCTCTTATATCCGGGTTTGGTCTATTTTATATACATTAACACAGGCTCTAATTTGGGACCAGAGAAAATCTCTCTTATATCCGGGTTTCTCTTATATCCGGGTCTCTTACATCCGGGTTACACTGTATTTCTTTTTTATATCATACTTTCATTTGTCTTTTTAAAATGTCTTTTTGATTTCATTAAATTTCATTTATTTTGATTTTACATTTTTTATTCCACTTATTTTTAATTCCATTTTTTATTTTACTTTTTAATTTAATTGTTTTTGATTTTACACATTTTTTTATTCCACTTCCATTTTTATTGTTTTAATTTCCATCTTTCTTTTCTTTTTCAATTTTTTATTTTATGCTTTCCTTTTTATTTCCTATTTTTCCATTTTTTAGTGTTTAGATCTTTCTTTTCTTTTCTATCTTTTTTATTTTATTTTTTATTTCACACTTTTTTTATTTTACACTTTTTTCTTCATTTCATGCTTTCTTTTTCATTTCATCCATTCTTTTTATTTCACTCTTTCATTTTTATTTTATTCATTCTTTTATGTTTTACTCTGTGTTATTTCTTTCTATTCCACTCTTTCTTTCTATTTCACTCTTTCTTTCTATTCCACTATTTCTTTCTATTCCACTCTTTCTTTTCTATTTCACTCTTTCTTTTCTATTCCACTCTTTCTTTCTATTTCACTCTTTCTTTTCTATTTCACTCTTTCTTTTCTATTCCACTCTTTCTTTTCTATTCCACTCTTTCTTTCTATTTCACTCTTTCTTTTCTATTCCACTCTTTCTTTTCTCTTTCATTTTTATTTTCTTTCTTTCTATTTCTCTTTCTTTCTATTTCACTCTTTCTTTTCTATTTCACTCTTTCTTTCTTTCCTTCTTTCTTTTCTTTTCTCTTTTCTATTTCTTTCTTTCTATTCCACTCTTTCTTTTCTATTTCACTCTTTCTTTTCTATTTCACTCTTTCTTTCTATTCCACTCTTTCTTTCTATTCCACTCTTTCTTTTCTTTTTTTCTTTCCTTTTTATTTCTTTCTTTTTTCTATTTTCTTTCTTTTCTTTCACTCTTTCTTTTTTTCTATTTCTTTCTTTCTATTTCTCTTTCTTTCTATTTCCTCTTTCTTTTCTATTTCACTCTTTCTTTTCTATTTTCTTTCTTTTATTCCAATCTTTCTTTCTATTTCCTCTTTCTTTTTCTATTCCCTTTCTTTTCTTTCTCTTTTTTTTCTATTTCCTCTTTCTTTCTTTCCTCTTTCTTTTCTATTTCCTCTTTCTTTCTATTTCTCTTTTTTCTTTTCTATTTCCTCTTTTCTTTTTATTTTTCTTTCTTTTCTATTTCCTCTTTCTTTTCTTTTCTTTCTTTCTTTTCTTTTTTCTATTTCCTTTTTTTTCTATTTCCTCTTTCTATTTCTATTTCACTATTTCTTTCTATTCCACTCTTTCTTTATTTTCTTTATTTCCTCTTTCTTTCTTTTCCTCTTTCTTTCTATTTCACTTTTTCTTTTTTTTATTCCTCTTTCTTTCCTTTTTTTTCTTTCTTTCTTTCTATTTTCTTTTTCTCTTTCTTTCTTTTTTCTTTTCTTTCCTCTTTTCTTTCTTTTTCCTCTTTCTTTCTATTTCACTTTCTTTCTTTTCTCTTTTTTCCTCTTTCTTTCTATTTCACTTTCTTTTATTTCACTCTTTCTTTCTATTTCCTTTCTTTTCTATTCACTCTTTTCTTTTTCTATTTCTTTTCTTTCTTTTCTTTTCTTTCTTTTTCTTTCTTTTCTATTTCTTTTTTTTCTACTTTTCTTTCTATTTCCTCTTTCTTTCTATTCCTCTTTCTTTCTATTTTTCTTTCTTTCTATTTCTCTTTCTTTCTATTTCACTCTTTCTTTCTATTTCACTCTTTCTTTCTTTTCTTTCTTTCTATTTCACTCTTTCTTTTTTTTCTTTCTTTTCACTCTTTCTTTCTATTTCCTCTTTCTTTTCTTTTTTCTCTTTCTATTTCCTCTTTCTTTTCTATTCCCTCTTTCTTTTTCTATTTTTCTTTTTTCTTTCTATTTTCTTTCTTTCTTTTCCTCTTTTTTCTCTTTTTTCTTTTCTTTCTTTTTTTTCTATTCCTCTTTCTTTCTATTTCTTTTCTTTCTATTTCACTCTTTCTTTTATTTACTCTTTCTTTTTATTTCACTCTTTCTTTCTATTTCACTCTTTCTTTTTCTATTTCCTCTTTTCTTTCTATTTCTCTTTCTTTTCTATTCTTCTTTCTTTCTTTTCTTTCTTTCTTTCTTTTTTTCCTTTTCTTTTTTCTTTCTTTCTATTCCTCTTTTCTTTTCTATTTCTTTCTTTCTTTCTTTCTATTCCACTCTTTCTTTTCTTTTCTTTCCTTTTTCTTTCTATTTCCTCTTTCTTTCTATTCTTTTCTTTCTTTCTATTTCTTTTCTTTCTATTTCCTCTTTCTTTCTATTCCCTCTTTCTTTCTTTCCACTCTTTCTTTTCTATTTCTCTTTCTTTCTATTTCTTTCTTTCTTTCTTTTCTTTCCTCTTTCTTTTCTTTCTCTTTCTCTTTCTTTTCTATTTCACTCTTTCTTTTCTATTTCTTTTTTTTTTCTATTCCTCTTTCTTTTATTTCCTTTTCTTTTCTATTTCCTCTTTCTTTCTTCTTTCTTTTTCTTTCTTTCTTTCTATTTCACTCTTTTTTTCTATTTCACTTTTCTTTTCTTTTCTCTTTCTTTTCTCTTTCTTTTTTCTATTCACTCTTTCTTTCTTTTCTCTTTCTTTCTTTTTTTCTTTCTTTCTATTTCTCTTTCTTTTCTTTCCTCTTTCTTTCTATTTTTCTTTCTATTGAAAACTCTTTCTTTCTATTTTTTTCTTTCTTTCCTCTTTCTTTTCTATTCTTTTTCTTTCCTTTCCTCTTTCTTTCTATTTTCTTTCTTTTTTCCTCTTTCTTTCTATTTCTCTTTCTTTCTATTTCTTTTTTTCTTTTTTTCTTTCTTTCTTTTCTCTTTCTTTCTATTTCTTTCTTTCTTTCTATTTCTTTTTTTCTTTCTCTTTCTTCTTTCT